TGGAAACAAAGTTTAAATAGTGTATTAGACTTGGGCTATTTACTTAAAAAGCAATTTTTACAGAATATTTTTTTCTTTTTTCCTTCTTTTTTCTGGGATTTTGCTTTTTATTCCTTATTTTGTAATTATTGATTTTACAAGAAGTGGACTGTTACAGGCAGGAAAATGGCTTCAAAGCGTCCTAGACTTTCAAATGAACAACAAAAGGAGATGAATTGTTTAATTACTTCTGAGGAAATTATTTTGGCAATTAAACAGTTAAAAGTGGGTAAGGCTCCTGGTACAGATGGATTATCAGCAATTTACTATAAAATATTATCTGAAGAGATGATAGAACCATTAAAGGAACTTTTTAATAGTATCCAGATTGGAGGAGAAGTGCCTCCGTGTTGGAGAAGGGCTTTTATATCGCTGATTCCAAAGGAGGATCAAGACCTTACCCAGCCTAGGAATTATAGACCTATATCGCTTCTGAATACAGATTATAAGATTTTTTCAAAAATATTGGCAAATAGATTAATGCACGTTTTGAAGCAAATGATTCATAGTGATCAGTCTGGATTTAGAACTGGAAGATATACGAAATATAATGTAAGACAAATTGTTAACTTAATTGAGTATTTGGATAAGAACAATCAAATCCCTGTGGCATTGATATTTTTGGATGCTGAAAAAGCTTTTGATCAGTTGAATTGGCAATTTTTATTGAAAGTTGTTGATAAAATGAATTTTGGGGATAAATTTTTATATTCTCTTAGGGCTATATATCAACAACAATCGGCACATATCATAATTAATGGAGGATTAACAGAGACATTTAAAATTGAAAAAGATACAAGACAGGGATGCCCGTTGCCACCATTGTTTGTTTTAACATTGGAGATTTTACTGATTAAAATTCGTGAAGCAACTATAATAAAGGGAATAAAAATAAAAAAGAATGATTACAGGTTGAGAGCTTTTGCGGATAACTTGGTTGTGACATTATCTCAAACGATTCAATCGGTTATAGACTTGATGGAAATTATAACTCAGTATGGGAAAGTTTCTGGTTTTAAGCTAAATAATAATAAGACTAAAATATTATCTAAAAATATGACTATGAAGGAAAAGGAAATGTTAGTTAAATTGACAGGTTTTGTAATAGTGAAAAAGGTTAAATATCTGGGAGTATATATTACAGCTTCTAATGCAAAATTGTATAAAAATAATTATGAAATATTATGGTTAAAAGTTCAAAAGGACTTAAACAATTGGAAAAAATTGCAATTATCTTTGTTGGGGAGAATTGCAGCTGTTAAAATGAATGTTCTACCAAAGTTTCTTTTTTTGTTTCAAATGATACCAATTTTGAAAAAAGATGCCAATTTGGATGAATGGCAGAAGGGTATTAATAAATTTATTTGGGCGGGCAAAAAAACCAAGAATTAAATTTAAGATCTTAAAAGACGTACGGGAAAGAGGAGGACTTAAGGCGCCTAATTTGAAATTATACTATGATGCGGTGGTTTTAACACTGGTTAGTGATTGGCTTAATTTAACAAATAAAAGTATACTTCATCTTGAGGGATGGATTTTATTATGTGGGTGGCATGCATACTTAATTTATAACAAAAAAGTTGACCAAGCTTTTAAATCTCATATTTTAAGAAGTGCTTTATTGTGTGTCTGAAAGAAGTATTATTATAAGTTAAATTATAAAATACCAATCTGGGGGATTCCTGGACATGCATTAGAGGGGGTATCTATGGGTGTGAATTTGAATAGGATTTCTTATAAGGAACTACTTAAATTGGTAGGGAATGATTGGCAATTAAAACCGTTAGTTGAGTTAAAGCAAGAAAATATTGTACAATCTTGGTTTCAGTATAATCAATTGTTGACTAGGTGGAAGTTAGATCAAAAGGTTGGTATCAATGGATGAGAATTTGGTAAAAGAGATTAAAGATCAAAACCGAGCGCATATAAAGAGAATTTATAATGCTTTAATAGAATTGGATTCAGAAATGGATTTAGTTAAAGATTGTATGGTAAAATGTGCCCAAAATATTCAGGAACCGATTCCATTGGATATATGGGAGGTAATTTGGGTTAGAAATGTAAAATTTACCCAGGCCCCAAATTTAAGAGAAATTTTTTAAAAAATGTTTTATAGATGGCATCTGGATCCCAAAACGTTGTCTTGTATGTATCCTAATTTACAGCCAAATGTTGGAGATGTGGTGGTTTGGATGCTACTTATTTTCATATCTGGTGGACTTGTAGAAATATAAAAGCTTTATGGATTAAGATTTGGTGGAACATTCAAAAAATTTTTAGGAGAAAGATAAAGTTTACTCCACAATTATTTTTATTGGGTGTTATTGTAGATTGTGATGTTAAAGAAATTAATTTGATGTTGAATTTGATAACAGCTGTAGGGCAATATTGGAAGAAGGATTGTTTGCCTACCATAGAAGAATGGACGCTTAAAGTGTCAAATTTAGCAGAAATGGCTAAGATTTCTGCTTATTTGAAGGATCATTCACAAGAAAGATACATTTCGAGAAGATGGATAGATTATATTCAGAATAAATATGGGACTAAAAAGTTCCATTTACTTTATGAGTAAATTTTAGAGTATTATTATTATTATTAATAGTTTATTGTGAAATTTTTATTAGTTTTATTATTATTTTTAGTATTAGTATTGTTTAACAATTTGGATATTGTATTGTTCAAGAATTAGGATATTAACTTGTTTATATTATTATGTTTATTTTTAATTTGTTTATTTTTATGTTAAAGGGGAGTTAAAGCGCATTATGGACGGTTATTTGTATAGTTGGTTAATGTTAGTTAGAGTATGATTATTATATTTTTACCCTGTACTCAGCTCTGGGAAGTGGGAGAGGGAGAGGGGGGTTTTAGAATGGGTGGGTTTTAGGGTGTATATTGTAACTTTTATAAAACTTTTCAATAAAAAAAGCTGGCTTTATTCTTAAAACAGAACTACTCCAAACTTATTAAAATTGTCTAAATTTTAATTTAAAAATTAAAAACTAATGAGTTCTAGAGGATTTTCCAGTTGATGTGACAGGAATACCTGTGAATGCCTTGGTCAACCCACCTGATCTCTCCCTCTTTAACAAACATCTGTAGTCCCTTGGTATAATTCAGAGCTGTGGTCTAAGAAGCAAATTAAACCAGATGTATGAGCTTACACATTGGAAGGGAAGATAATGAAGACCTGCTTTTCTATCTTCATTCACTTTAATATGTAAAAAATAATCTGGCCAGTCCAGAAGGTTCCAGACATTAAAAGTAGCTATTATTAGTTATTATTAAGAAACCTAGCCTGCATCTAGACCAGCGGTTCTCAACCTGTGGGTCGTGACCCCATTTGGGGTTGAACGACCATTTCACGGGGGTCGCCAAACAACGCAGTCCGCCATTTTTTCCCTTTTTCCTTAGCTTTTATTCTATTGGCTTTTGAAAGCCAATAGAATAGACTCTCTTGAATAGAGTCTAATTCTATTGGCTTTCAAAAAACAATAGGACTTGTCCAGGCTGTCTCTGCCCTGCTGAGCCCGCCAAAAGCCCCAGTCTGCAAACGGTGCTGCAAGTTGTCTGCAGCGAAGGAGAGCTGTCTGGAAGTTTCCACCCCTCCCTGCTGAGCAACTACTAAAAATGTAAGTAAAAGAGGGCCAGGGGTGGGAGGTGGGAGGGCGGCAGGTGCAGGGAGGGTTGCTGGCACGCGTGGGGCCCGGCGGGTGCCTTACCTCCCTTGGGCTGGGCCAGCTGGTGGCCCAGCCGGTGGTCGGCCTGCTCCGTCGCTGCCCCTTGCTAGCTATGCCTCGGTCGGCGCAGGGGGCGGCACCACACATGCGCGGTGCTCCCGGGCAGGGAAAGTCCTCGACTTATGACCAGTTGGGTAGTCCTCGACTTATGACTGGTTGAGTAGTCCTCGACTTACGACCAGTTGGGTAGTCCTCGACTTACGACCGGTTGGGGTCGTGGCATTAAAAAGGTTGAGAACCACTGATCTAGACAATATAGCATTTATAGACTGGTTAATTTTATTTCTATGCTGGCCATGGTTAAAAATTGCGTGGGACATAGAGTTTCTGATATAAAACTTTTTCCATGGCTATTTACATCTGGCTTCAGGCTTAGTTTTGTAACAGTAATTGTTGAGAAGAGCCTCCCCATGGTTATTTGGGATGTCCCAGTAGCTTTTGATTATAACAGCCTCCTTAGTTAAAAGTTGCAGAAACTACATCATAGTGGGTCTGCTGCTGCTTGAAATTCTGATTACAGAAGGTGGTCTTGGGAAAGTTACCACTCTGCACAAGTACTATGAGGTTCCTCGAGGCTTTATTTATTGTGCTTTTTAATACAAAATTTAACAATCTGTTCTTCTGAAATGTACTGATCTGGCTCATTTGGAAGTGGCTCAGTAGTTTAGTGACTTCTCTGAATTAGTTCATAGTGTTGCATATTGTTCGTGTTTAGGAAATTAACTTTCAAAAAAGGTAGAATAAGCATTTTGACATGATTTACAGGAGAAATATAATGTTTCAGAATTTTAGGCCAGTACTTGCACATGATATGCACATGCAATAATGGGTCATTGGTCAAGATTGCATATTTGTAGGTGAACAGACAAATAATCTTTTACACACTCTAATATGTTTTGGACAAACAATTCAGTTTCATAACTTCATTTATACAGATCCATTTATAATATAGTAATTGTTTCTCACAGACTAGATTCTGTTAATAGCAATAGAAGAATAGTGTTTTTTCTTGATTCACAGGAAAGAATAGACAAGGGCTTCAGGCAACCCAGTTTTCCAGTTTCTCAGATGTGAATTTTAAATCATGAGAACTCTTTGCTTCTATAAAATTGTGTTTAATAAGTTGCATAAATCAAAGTACCTTTTAAAAATCCTTCGATAACTGTAAAATCTTTACCTACGACAATTATTACATTTAGGATGACTTCCTGTTTCTCTCAGTTTCAGATGATTTGTGTTACCCCAAGAAAGTGATAGAAACTGTTTCTGCTTCAACCACATGTAAAAATCAGCTGATTATTAACAGTAAGGGATATAGAGATAGATGGAAATATATGAAGAAAGAAGAAAAAAGAAATACTGAATTGGTAATAGCATTTTCCTTTCTTTTTCATACATATTGATATATGACATTGCCCTCCCAATTGTTCAGTTATTGGTTCACTTTTGTTTTCATTTGAGAAGTTATTGTTTGAATTGAACAGATTGTGGGAAAGTGCAAAAATACTTCCTTTTACAATAGATTCATTTCAGAGGTTTCTGAAAGAAAGCTGTGCTTCTTGCTTTGAGGAATCAAAACTGAAATGTATTTAATTGTGATTGAAATGATTGCTGTGAGGACTCTGTGTATCAGAAAAGCTTCAATAAATACTTACAATAAGAGACGCTGTAGAATAAATTATCATACAAATACCCTTGGCCATAAAGAATCAATTTGTTTTCCTGATTCTTGTTCTGCCTTCTTCTGTGTACTGATCTGACTTAGGGAATATTCATTCCACTAATGGTGTACTATGGGCCAATTATCTGTCACAGCTTCTCTGAGTTTCACTGCCTGCTAACAATTCTTGGAGACAAGTTTTTTTTTTGAGTGAAGATTTAAATTCTTATTGATATCAATATTGGCAGTTGCAAAGCAAGAAAAGGAGAGATGGCAAATTTAATGTTGCTCCAAGCAAAAGTGTCAGGAACTGCATGGGTGTGGGTGGATTGACCCCACATATTATTGGCTGGTTCCTTTTTCCTTCATCTCAGCCTAACTCATATTGGGTATCAGAATTGTTTCCCCATTTTTTGCTGTTTAAAGCGGAAGAATAATCCCAGTCTAATCAGAAAAGTTTTAAAATATAAGTTTTCTAATGCAATTAGAGTTATCTGCAGATTAAATATGGTTTGTATATAAATTTTCATTCAAGTATTTTCAATTTGTATCAGAAAATGTCTGATGCTATAATTATTTAATTTAACAAATTTATTTTATTTGAATTCAATGTAGCTTTAATAAATTTAAATAAATATCCTATATTCAGAATACAAGTCTTGGCCCAAAATATTTTAGAAAAAAATAATTATCATTGTTGTTGTTGTTGTTAATTGCGAAGTCGTGTCCGTCTCGTGCTACAGAGACATTTCTGAATCTTGAATTTGTTTAGCCAGATTAATGTATATATGTTTGCCCATTTCATTCTGCTCCTAATTGTCATTAACAGAGATAATCATTCTGGCTATATAGATAGTTATACCCATTGTTGTTGTTGTTAATTGCGAAGTCGTGTCCGACCCATCGCGACCCCATGGACAACATTCCTCCAGGTCTTCCTGTCCTCTACCATCTTCTGGAGTCCATTTAAATTCACACTACTGCTTCAGTGACTCCATCCAGCCATCTCATTCTCTGTCGTCCCCTTCTTCTATTGCCCTCAATCTTTCCCAGCATTAGGCTCTTCTCCAGTGAATCCTTCCTTCTCATTAGGTGGCCAAAGTACTTGAGTTTCAACTTCAGGATCTGGCCTTCTAAAGAGCAGTCGGGGTTGATCTTTTCTAGGACCGACCGGTTTGAACGCCTTGGAGTCCAAGGGACTCGCAGGAGTCTTCTCCAGCACCACAGTTCAAAGGCCTCAATTCTTTGGCGCTCAGCCTTTCTTATGGTCCAACTTTCACAGCCATACATTGCAACTGGGAAAACCATGGCCTGGACTATGCGTACTTTTGTTGGCAGGGTGATGTCTCTGCTTTTTAGAATGCTGTCTAGATTTGCCATAGCTTTCCTCCCCCGGAGCAAGCGTCTTTTAATTTCTTGGCTGCAGTCTCCATCTGAGGTGATCTTGGAGCCCAGAAAAATAAAATCTGTCACTACCTCCATTTCTTCCCCATCTATTTGCCAGGAATTGAGAGGGCCGGATGCCATGATTTTGGTTTTTTTAATGTTGAGTTTCAAGCCAACTTTGGCACTCTCCTTCTTCACCCGCATCAAGAGGCTCTTTAGTTCCTCTTCACTTTCTGCCATTAGAGTGGTATCATCTGCATATCTTAGGTTGTTGATATTTCTTCCGGCAATCTTAATTCCAACTTTTGTTTCATCTAGCCCTGCCTTTCCCATGATGTGCTCTGCATATAAATTAAATAGGCAGGGCGACAGTATACAGCCTTGCCGGACTCCTTTTCCAATTTTGAACCAATCAGTGGTTCCGTGTCCAGTTCTCACTGTTGCTTCTTGACCCGCATATAGGTTTATCAAGAGACAAATGAGATGGTCTGGTACTCCCATCTCTTTAAGAACTTGCCACAATTTGTTGTGATCCACGCAATCAAAGGCTTTTGCATAGTCAATGAAGCAGAAGTAGATGTTTTTCTGGAACTCCCTAGCTTTCTCCATGATCCAGCGTATGTTGGCAATTTGATCTCTAGTTCCTCTGCCTCTTCGAAATCCTGCCTGTACTTCTGGTAGTTCTCGATCCACATACTGCGGGAGTCTAGCTTGTAGGATTTTAAGCATAACTTTACTAGCATGTGAAATGAGTGCAATGATGCGATAGTTTGAACATTCTTTGGCATTGCCTTTCTTTGGAATTGGAATATAAACTGACCTTTTCCAATCCTGTGGCCACTGTTGAGTTTTCCAAATTTGCTGGCAAATTGAGTGTAGCACTTTTACTGCATCGTCTTTTAAGATTTTGAATAGCTCAGCTGGAATATGTCACCTCCACTAGCTTTGTTGTTGCTCAGATTTTCTAAGGCCCATTTCACTTCACATTCTAGGATGTCTGGTTCGAGGTCAATGACCATCTCATTGTGGTTATCTGGGATGTTAAGCTCATTCTTGTATAGTTCTTCTGTGTAGTTTTGCCATCTCTTATTAATCTCTTCTGCCTCTGTTAGGTCTCTGCCATTTTGGTCCTTTATCATGCCAATCTTTGCATGAAACGTTCCCTTCATATCTCCAATTTTCTTGAAGAGATCTCTGGTCCTCCCTATTCTGTTGTTTTCTTCTATTTCTTTGCACTGTTCATTTAAGACGGCATTCTTATCTCTTCTAGCTATTCTCTGGAATTCTGCATTCAATTGGGTGTATCTTTCTCTTTCTCCTTTGCCTTTTGCTTCCCTTCTTTCATCAGCTATTTGCAAAGCTTCCTCAGACAGCCATTTTGCTTTCTTGCATTTCTTTTTCTTTGGGATGGTTTTAGTTGCTACCTCTTGTACAATGTTGCGAAATTCCATCCATAGTTCTTCAGGCACTCTGTCTATCAGATCCAGTTCCTTAAATCTATTTGTCACCTCCACTGTATATTCATCAGGAATATGATTTAGTTCATACCTGAGTGGCCTAGTGCTTTTCCCTACTTTTTTCAATTTAAGCCTAAATTTTGCAACGAGAAGCTCATGATCTGAGCCACAGTCAGCTTCTGGTCTTGTTTTTACTGACTGTATAGAGCTTCTCCATCTTTGGCTGCAGAGCACATAGTCAATCTGATTTCTATGTTGACCATCTGGTGATGTCCATGTGTAGAGCCGTCTCTTGGGTTGTTGGAAAAGAGTGTTTGTTATGACCATTGTATTCTCTTGACAAAATTCTATTAGTCTGTGCCCTGCTTCATTTTGTACTCCAAGGCCAAACTTGCCTGTTATTCCGGTTATCTTTTGGCTTCCTACCTTAGCAGTCCAATCCCCCATGATGATAAGGACATCATTTTTTGGTGTTAATTCTATAAGGTGCTGTAGGGCTTCATAGAACCGGTCAATTTCATCATCTTCAGCACCAGTGGTTGGGGCATAGATTTGGACTACTGTGATATTGAATGGTTTGCCTTGGATTCGAATTGAGATCATTCTGTCATTTTGGGGATTGTATCCCAGTATTGCTTATCCTATTCTTTTATTGACTATGAAGGCTACTCCATTTCTTCTGAGGGATTCTTGCCCACAGTAGTATACCTGATGGTCATCTGAGTTAAATTCACCCATTCCTGTCCATTTTAGTTTGCTGATTCCTAAGATGTCGATGTTCAGTCTTGTCATCTCTTTTTTGACTACGTCTAGCTTGCCTTGATTCATTAAATTAATTATTTAATTATTATTATTTAATTTAATTATCATTAAATATAGTTAAATAAAGTTATATAATGTATAATTTTTATTTTTAAATAACCAGGGGTTTAAGTTGAAAAAACAAGTGGTTATAGTATCTCAAATATTTCAAGAGTTGAAAATTCTTCTGATCCAAATAATGTGTTAAAAATGTTGTAATTATAAATATTGCCATTGCTTTATATCTGATAGATCTCTTATCTCTTAACACAGAGTATGTTAAATGACTCATCTTCGTTATCTATTATTTGGTCCAAAGTTGATCTCTTTGCTTTCATATTACTTTCTTTGTTTCAATTTATAAAGCAGGGTTTCTCCTTAAAGTCAATTTGGCATGGGGAAAATATTGTTCTTTAATAATATTTTGTTTTCTTGGCAGGGTGATGGCCCCGTCTTGCCACAGTACAATGGAAATGAAACAAGATACTTCCTCAGAAAGAAAAGAAATTCTAGTAAAACTATGGTTTTGCAAATTGGTAAGGAGCACAGTAAGTAGTGATATATAGGTAGTCCTTGACTTACAACAGCTCACTTAGTGACCATTCAAAGTTACAATGGCACTGAAAATAGTGACTTATGACCATTTTTCATAGTTATGACCATTGTAGCAACCCTGTGGTCATGTGATTTACATTTGGCCACTTGACAACTGACTCATATTTATGACAGTTGCAGTGTCCTGGACTCAGGACAGTTTCCAACCTTCTGACAAGCAAAATCAGTGGGGAAACCAGATTCACTTAACAACTGTGTTATTAGTTTAACAACTGCAGTGATTCTTTTAACAAATGTGGCAAGAAAAGTCATAAAATGAGGCAAAACCCACTTAACAAATTTCTAACTTAGCAACATAAATTTTGTGCTCAATTATGGTCATAAGCTGAGGACTACCTGTTAAAATGCTTTTATTCTGTGTGGCTTGATTTTAAGGTATCATGGTCTTTGATCTTTTTAAATATTCCTATTTTACTTCCTCTTTTTTCTAGTATTTTTCTAATAATATTATGATACAGTTAATAATGGTAATAAGAACATTATTAGTCTTCCATTTGGCCAAAGCTACTGGAAAGATAAAGTTTGTGAGGGAGCAGGCTTGCTCAGAAAAATGGCCAGCATCTGTGCTGCTCTCTGTCCTGTCTCTTTAAACCTTTTTCCAACCAGCATGTTAGCTGAAAAAGCTTTGATAAGAAGCAGTTGCATGTGGTGATAATCTGTAGGAGAGAGATTCCTGTGTTCCTGTGAAGGGAAGCAGCTAAAAAGGGATAATTTTCTCTAGTAATACTTAAAAGGAGTAGGAGTAGTAGGACTCGTAAGTAGTAGTAGTTTTTTGGATGAGAAGCGAAATGTTTTCAAAAAAAAAAAAAAAAGTTCAATTGCCTTTTGGAAAAGCACTTTTGGGACAACCATGACCTGGATGATTGAGAACCTGTGTTACATTCAGGTCCAGTATGATAGCCATTATATATATATATAATGGCTATAATATTCCTCAATTTACTCTAGGAATTTGTCTAATTTCCCTATTCCAGCATTACCACCAACTGTTCCACTCATATATTGAGATTTCAACTCTTATGACCATTGGGATTACAGGAGATTTGGTCCCAAATCTATTGAAAAAAAAGTTGAGGATGGTTGCTGTAGTCCATATTCTACTGAAATTTACTTTTCTCTTCTCTATTCCAGATACACTGTTCATATTCCAGCAGATAGCTTTGATTTAAATGTTTTGATAATTTCTGATTTGGTTAACTTGGATTTAAAGGGATATTTGCTGGAAAAATATTAACTCTGAAATAGAATATTTGACAAAACATTAGCCTCTAAAAAGGAATTTTTAACAAAAAACAGTAGCCTCTGAAAAAAAGTGGTCATGATTCTGCTTTAAGTGTCTACACTGGTATTTGAATCCTCTTTCTGTAAAATGTTCTAATTGCAAACTTTGCCCATCTAAGGATCAGACTCATCTGAAGATATATTTCAGAAAGGGAACATGGGCAGCTGGTAAGTTGAAGTTCACTGGAGTTGTTTCTTTTGCATATTTTGGGATGTTAGAAATGCCATTAAATACTCGATAAAATGCTTATTAAGGGGGTATCATGAAAAGACAATTTCTGTTCATATCATGAAAAGACAATTTCTGAAAAAGAGGCAGTGGTTTTTTTATGTAACAAGAATTTTTGAGAACATGTATTTTTCTACTTTGCCTATCTAGGAATTATGTGGAAAAGGATACAACAATGTGATTATATTGCTTAGGAAGTTTGCTTGAATATAAAGGACATTGACTGTTGATGCACTAAATCTGGACACAATTTACTAGTTTATCTGTACATTTTCTAAACATGCCAAAGTAATTGGGATGTTATTGGCAATGTAAGTCCAGATAGTAAGCTCTGGTCATTTAGGAGATGTCATTTGCTTTTTATTTTTTCACTTGTGATCTTTCTGAAACAACATGAAAGAATGAGAATATGATTAAATAGTACACAGTAGAAAAAAACAAAGAATCTATTCATTTTTCTGAACTGAAAGAGGAAATTCTCAGAGAGGCAGGCTGATAGAACTTCCTGCCTAATAAGACTTTGGGTGGGGGATTTTCCTAGTCGCAAAATATGGAAGTGTCATACCAATATCTTACCTAGTATTGTTTAGTTTTTTTTACATAGGATTCGTGGTTGAATATAACTCTAAGAACTTGTCAGACCTTTAATTTTCTAGAATTTGTTCATTCTTATCCACAGTATGGGTTTTGAAAGTCCTTCCTTCTCTCAAGTTAACCAAGACCATATTGTGAATTGGAGCCAAAGCTCTTGCCATATAGAGCATTCTGAACCAAGTGCCAAAAATGAGGCATCCTTAAATATCATAGGTGAGAATGTTTCCTGTAAATGGTATTGCTTGGTTGGTGGGATACTAAATACAGGAGTCCAAGTAATACACAATAGTTAGCTTAGTTGCATTTTTCTAGGTGACCATGTTTTATGATGTGCAAAAGCAGTATACGGGGGATTGACCTTGGGCATGCAAATCAGTTTATTCCTGACATTGCAGAACAAACTTAGTTCCCTTCTTAACTCCCATGTATCACTGATTAGTCCAGAATTGTTGTCCTAATACTCTGGGATAATACAAATGGAATCATAGTGTTTCTATTAATCTGCATATTGACAAATTTAGAATTTGCAAGACAAGATACCAAAGAAAAACACCAAGAGATGCCAGAGTTTTAATAAAGCTTTTAAAAGGTTTATTAAGAAATTGCCCTTTAATACTTACAGCACGAGTGTCAAACTCGTGACATCACGTGACGTGTCACGAAGTATCGCAACTTTTTTCCCATTGCCAGCAGTGGGTGAGTGCAGTTTTTGTGGCACATCCAGCCCACGGGCTGGCAATTTGACACCCTGACTTACAGCCTTGGGAGGATTCAATCCCAATCAGCTGGGTGAGACCTAATGGTAGGGAAGGTTCACGTTATGGGATTTGACTGAAAAAAGGCATAAATCTCCTTTCCCCCCACTTCCTGCCCTTTGAAAACCTCACCTTGGTTCTGGGATAATTAGCAAGGGGAAATCAATATTTGTATTTACACTCATTGGAAAAGAAGAGATTACAAGACAGTAAGTAAGCATACAATGGAAAGCATACATTGAAAGAAATGCCTTGGCTGTTTAGGATATAAAAGGAAGCCATGCCAATATTAAATGGCAGTGCACACTGGCCCTGGACATTAAGTAATGAAGATCGCAGAGCTGAGCTAACTGGGGCTAGCATCTTTCAGGGAAGAATAGCTTGTATGCCAAAGAAAAACAGTTTAGGAAGTCTGATTTGCAATGGAGGAAATTCTGGGAAAGAGGGAAAGAAAATATAAAAAAATACAAGTTAGACAGAAACACAACATAAATCATGCTTTCTGAAAGAGAAAGAAAAAATAAAGTGTAGGGCACCATGACAGAGAATAGTAATATTGGATTTATCATCATAAATCATCTGTTAAATTAGAGTTATCTTTGTGATCAGGCAGTAATTTGTCAATCTTAATCCTTGCACCTAGAATAAAACTTGATTTTATTATTTAATAGTCTTTGTTCTTTAAAAAAAAAATTATGAGCACTTTTGTTTTAAAATCAGTTTTTTAAAAGTGTATGTACTGTACACTGATGTTTGTTTTTATATACCTCATTGCTTATTCTAATATTTCTGTAAATTCTCTTATTCAGATAAAAAGTGAACAAGCAAAACAATTCTATTTATTTATTTTGTAATATATTTTATTGATTTTTTAAAAAAAACATAAATCACTTAATAATTGGTGAACAGTCTGTTGTCTGGGTTATATTTGTAAAACAATCATTAACAATTGATTTCTATAATCCATAATTCACATAATAGTTTTAATTGATTTCCTCTTTTCCCAAAATATCCTCTTTTGCAAACATTGAGTTAATATAATTCTTATTGTTTTGATAGATAACAATTAAATATATAATTTTTCCCAATATTCCTAAAAATAATAATCACATCAGTATAATATTTCTTTTCTATCCAATCATTCTGGTTGCCTTATCATAGTTCCTGTTACAGTTTTTACTTTAATTTGTTTCTCCTACAAAATTCTAGGTATTCTTACTGATTAAGGTTTTCTCAAAAATTAATTACATTTAAAAAATTTAACTCTATTTTTTCCATATGAACCATCTCTTCTTCTACCCTCCCCTAGTCCACAAATTCAGAAAGGTAGATGACTCATGGCATCACTGTAGTACAGTGGCCCCCAACCTTTTGAGCACCAAGGACTGGTTCCGTAGAGAAATGTTTTTCCCGCAGACCAGAGGGGGTGTGGTTTTGCATGCTGCCTACATCCTGCGGATGGGGCTTTGTTTGTGTGGCCAGGTTTCTGGCATGCTGCAGCCCAGTACTGGTCCATGGACCAGGGGTTGGACACCCCTACTGTAGTACACAAACCAACCAAAGCCATCCAAAACATCCTAAGTAAACCAAACAATCAAGCAGCCCCAGAAGAAAAAAAAATGGAGCCAAATGCCTTGATTTCAAAACAGGATCCTAGACCAAGTCAAGTCCAAAACTGCCACAGAATTCCTGGAAGCCTGGCATTTAGATAAATTGGCCATCAGCAGGCACATAGTGATAAACAATATCTACATTCCATTCAAAAGGAACAATCAAAAGCCAAAAAGGAAACAAAAAGACCAAAACACTTCCTCACCAGCAAGCAATCAGTATGCACATGAGCAGAGATTAACACCAAGATTAACATTGTACCAACTGCTTAGCACTGATGATGTTATCTAATTTGGTAATGAAACATCTGCAAGAAAACAACCAAGTTCAGAGAGGAGCAAAGACTTTATAGCTCAACCTTGAGCTACAATTATTGTATTCTATTGGTATGAATTGTGTTCTTGGAATGAGAGAGGCCAACTATTGTTTATCACACATAATAATAAAGCAGCAGGGAAGGATGAAATAAATGTGAGTGATAAATGTATTGCATAAGTTACCTCTAATTTGCTGATATTTGTTATTTTTTTCTTTTTTAGATATATGTGGAGCCTTAGAAGGGAGAAAACTGGGAAGCAGAGATGATACTGAAACTGTCAATGAAAACTTAAAAATTGTTGAGGAAAACATGACTGTCAAACAGCAAGAGGATATACCTTTAGATTCCTGCATGGAACAATCTGGTTTTAGTGACCTACAGGATCATACATCTTCCTCATTCTGCAGGACGACACAAGTACAATTGGCTGATGAAGCCATGAATATGAGTACAAATGAACAGACTGATAATGGTGGAGAAAAGACTCTTATTGACCAATCTGCTGGAAATTCATCGGGTGTATGTGAAAATAAGGAATACCAGTTACAGTCCCAGACTATGCTTGACATCCATCTGAGTGAAAGTTCTGGAAAGAAAGTGATACAGAGCATCAAGAAAGTCAGTGAGTGGTTTTCCAAAAGCAAGGAGATCCTTTCTTCTGATTCACTGGTGGATGGTTGCAGTGAAGAGCTTCTTCAGGATGCAGATCCAGATTTGTCAAATACTGATTCCTGTATTTCTCAGAAGACAGAACAGATGGAAAATCAAGAGGAATTCGTGAAGATAGGTGGAGATGAAAGGCCTTCATCTAAACTAACTGCCTCTGAAATTGTTGACAAAATATTTGGAAAAACATATAAGAGGGAACACATAGTGAATCCTCCTAGAAATGACAATGAAACTATGATCCAAACAGAGGAAGATTCCTGTAATATACTCCTGAGCAAGATATCCATACAAAAGAGAAAGGCAATATTAGATTTCAATGATTTCAGGAAGAGACGGAATGTGAAAGCAAGCAATAAGGAATCAGTTGGGGGAAGAGAAGACTCTGTTTTGGAAAATAGTAATCAGGCCTTTGCTGTTGTTAAAAAATCCCCAGCAGATCAACCGGAAGCTGCGTTTTCAGTAATAGCCTGTGTTGAGGAAGCAGCATCCAAGTTGAAAGGAGATAAAGATAAACAATCCCAGAGTGATTGCTACATGTTACCAGAATTGAACCTAACAGATATGGAAAACAAAAGTAGTTATTTGAACAAGAGAAGTAAAGAATTAAACAAACCACTTGGAAAAATGCAGATATTAAATAAAAGCCCTATGTTATCTGAGGAGACAAAGGAAGAACTAGGTATTAAGGAGCTGAGAAAAGTGAATCAAGGCCAGATGCAGGTCAGATGGGACAGGGAGCTTCAATTGTTCACAAAAGAAGCCAGGAGACAAAGTGAACCGACCAAGAGAAAAAGAAATGTGGATGAGAAAGAACTGAAACAATCCATTTCTCTTTCAGAAAGGATGCCATCTTCCTCTGTAACAGAAAATGACTCCTGTGTCCTGAAGGATAATCAGAAGAAAGCAAAGTCTTATTCAGATACCAGCATGATTGATAAGCAGCACCTTCGTAATGTAGACCTGGCTTATGCTAACCATGAAAACTTTCGTCATGTGATTGGGACTGTAAAAGACATTCTGAATACTGAAGAGACTGCAGAGAGCCACCGTGCAAATGCCCAAGGCAAGAGCTCAGTCTTGCAGTTTCATCCTGGAAAGGTAGAACGAAAAGTTTACAAGGATGAACAGGTCCTAGTGGATCAACTTGAGAAATATGCAGTGTGTTCTCAAATAATACAAAGTGATGGGATTTGCACAGATAATTGCAAATTCCCTAAAACCAACAATAAAGCTATAGGGAGTTATGAATTGAATTTGGAAACTGATGAGAGTGAACTAAATACAAGCTTCATGCAGAATATATTTGGCTGCTGCAAACGCCAGTCATTCTTGCTACATCAAAGTCCAGTAAAGGAATTGGCTATAGATATTAAATATTTGCAAGAGTTAGGCCCTGACAAAGAGGCTAAGGATGGAACACATGAAGACAAATGTGATGTTGTTTCTTGCAAAGAAAATAAAAGTACCTCAATCCAAACACCAACATCTTGTACATCCAGTTTTTCTGAACATAAAAATGAATACCTTCAGTTTTCCTGGCAAGTTCCATTTCCTGATTGTCCACTAATACCTCTGCAATCAGTTACTAGAAATGAAGAAGCTGAATATCAGTCAGAAAGTAAAAAGGCAATGGGTGAAGAGAAACAGTCTCCAGTGTTAGAGAAAAAAGTTGAAAGTCCAGATGATTGCATGGGAAGTTTGAATGTCTGGGAAAATAGCAATTTGCATGATACAAGTTTCAGCCTTATTAATGGGAGTACTTCTGGTTCAGTTCATTTTCAAGAAGCAAAATCCAAAGATATTGAAAACAAAAAAATGAAACTGAATCCTCAGACAGAATTAATGCAGCAACATTCTTTAACTTCTCTACCATTGTTACCTAGATTCATCCATGATGAAAAGAAAAAGAACCTCATGGAAGAAAAGCAATTAAACAATGACACAGAAAAAGCTGTTAATGTTTCTAGCACTGATGGGGTTAAGAGCTTGATTCCCAAACTGAACTTAGAATGTACTGCAAGGGAGCATCAGCATTTTGAACTGCTGTCAGAGACACCAGATAACTTGCTGGACCCACCTACCAAAAATAAAAAGGGTTCATCAAACCTTTGGGATAAGAATGACATCTTGGCCATGCCTACTAAAATAGACAAGCAAACCACTAATGTGACAGATCTGGATAGCAGAAACAAATGCAGTCCCATGTTGAAGAGTCAGGATTTTGTGTTGACTTACCAGAAATTGCTACAGAAGCTGCCGTCCTCAGAAGAGGATTCCAGTGAAGAGGAAAAACTTCTTTCTTTTCAGAAACTAATAAATATGCAAAGCACACAATCATACTCCGTGAAAGAGAAGGAGATACCAGTAGAGATGCTAGCATCAAAGAGCAGCAGCAGAAGTTTCAAACACAAAAAGGAGGATATCTGCCAAAGCCAGGAGTCAGAATGCTCTGTGAATTTGTTTTCCTCCCAATCAAATGTATCTGTGGTCTCTGGACAGGCTTGTAATTCAAAGGATTTAATCCCATTCTCTAATTCCAAAGAGAAATTGCCCAGTCTCAGTGGGAATAACAAAGTCATTTCACATAGTGATGAAGTCTCTAGTGATACTGAGCAACTAAAATGTGGTCAAGAAGAATATGCACATTCAGAATCCAATTTAGGTACAATATTGCCATTGCAAGTATTAGCTAGAATAGCTTTATTTTTAAATAACCTTCTGAAATTTTGAATATCTATACATTTCTAGCTCCAATGAGCAAAAAAGTATTCATCTTGGTACTTTTTTATGAATTAATCCAGGGATTCTCAAGCTTTACAAGATTATGAATTCCTTACAGCAGGGGTGTCAAACTGATGGCCCGCAGGCCAGATGCATCACGCCAAAACTACGCCTACCCCATTGCCGGCAATGAGAAAAAAGTTGCAATACATCGCAACACATCACGTAACATCACGAGTTTGACACCCATGCCTTACAGTAACACATAAATTTGTTTTGCCCACCAAATAAAATCAAGGGAGATTGAAGCAAGTAATAAATTACTTTTATTTTGTTAGTTTTATTAATTACATTTTATTTACATAACAATTCTTTACTCAACAATTCTCATTACTTATCCTTTATCTTATCATATAAATTATTAATCAGCACCTCTCTATCAATAATAGCATTTAACCAGCATTTGTTCTTTCTCTTAATTGTTAAATATTGTCTCAGTAGTGGGATGTTGTAAATTAATCATTTTGTACATAACATTGCTGGTAGTTGGCATGTCAATTTAAATTCCTAAAAAATTGTTAAATGCTAAAAGAACTTCATGTAATTCTTTATTTTTATTATAATTTTAATTTCAATTTTTAATTTTAATCTGAATTTTTATTTTGCTTGTCCATTCCAAATGAATTGGTGACTAGATTTTTTTTTTTGTCTCTTATGGTTTGTCACACAATCAGCCAGATGTTCACGCTGAATTTGGCATTTTTTATTTACCTATCGAATCCTTCCCAGGGACCTGGGATAGGCAGATGTGGATGGTAGATAGTGTTACAGATACCCTCGCAGGATGGAAGTTGTTCCAAGTAAAACTGACTACTGCAATTGACTGGTGGTGAATTTGTCAGTGTCAATGGTATTCAACTGGTGCTCTAGTTGTTTTGGGATGGCATCCAAGGTACCTAATACTAATGGAAGTACATTTGCTTTTTTTGCCACAGTCATTTTATTTTGATTTGTAGATCTTTGTATTTTGTTATCTTCTCCAGTTCCTTCTCTTGTATTCTACTGTCTCCAGGTACTGCCATGTCCATCATCCAGACTTTTTTGTCTTATTAACAATTAAGTTTGGCGTATTATGTGATAAGATGCCTGTCTGTTTGAATTCTAAAGTCTCAGAGGACTTTAGCATTTTATTCTCTATAATTTTCTCTGTTTTATGGTCTTACCAGGTCTTGCTTGCAGGCAAATGCTATTTCTTGCCATGCACCATTGTTGCTATTTTGTTACACTGTTGCTTGTAGTCAGATGTCAATCTGCAATCTTCTTGCAGCACCTAAGCTAGTAGTCCACTGCTTCTTCCACAGTGATGGCACTTGCTAATTGTTGCTGTCTGCTGAATCTTACTTAGTATGTGCATCTAGTCCTTGACCTACATCAGTTCATTTAGTGCCTATTTGAAGTTACAACGGTGCTGAAAAAAGTGGCTTATAACTATTTTTCACGTTCATGACCCTTGCAGCATCTCCAAGGTCACATAATCAAAATTCAAACGCTGACTGACTCATATTTATGACAGTGGGAATGTCCCAGAGTCATATGATCCCCTTTTGTGCCCTGCTGACAAGCACAGTCAATTCTCAACTTGCCACTAACTTAACAATTGCAATGATTCACTTAAAAACAGTGGCAAGTAAGGTCGTTGTTGTTGTTGTTAATTGCGAAGTCGTGTCCGACCCATCGCGACCCCATGAACCGTGTTCCTCCAGGTCTTCCTGTCCTCTACCATCTTCTGGAGTCCATTTAAGTTCACACCTACTGCTTCAGTGACTCCATCCAGCCATCTCATTCTCTGTCGTCCCCTTCTTCTATTGCCCTCAATCTTTCCCCGCATTAGGCCCTTCTCCAATGAGTCCTTCCTTCTCATTAGGTGGCCAAAGTATTTGAGTTTCAACTTCAGGATCTGGCCTTCTAAAGAGCAGTCAGGGTTGATCTCTTCTAGGACTGACTGGTTTGAATGCCTTGCAGTCCAAGGGACTCGCAGGAGTCTTCTCCAGCACCATAGTTCAAAGGCCTCAATTCTTTGGCGCTCAGCCTTTCTTATGGTCCAACTTTCACAGCCATACATTGCAACTGGGAAAACCATGGCCTGACTATACGCACTTTTGTTGGCAGGGTGATGTCTCTGCTTTTTAGTATGCTGTCTAGATTTGCCATAGCTTTCCTCCCCAGGAGCAAGCGTCTTTTAATTTCTTGGCTGCAGTCCCCATCTGAGGTGATCTTGGAGCCCAGAAAAATAAAATCTGTAAGGTCATAAAATGGGCCAAAACTCCCTTAACTGTCTTATTTAGCAACAGAAATTTTGGAGTCAATTGTTGTAAGTCAGGGACTATCCGTATTCGTTCTTAAGGCTTCGTCTTGTGCAGTCAGAATTATCCTATCCATATCTTTTTTTAACTTTCTTAGCCATTGCCAGGTCTTGTTATCTGCTTTAGCTGTTATTTTTTTATTTGCTGGACATGTAATATTTTATTTTCCTATGACTCTTCTGTTCTTCATTTTGGTCTTTTTATAGGTCAGTTTGGCCTCTTCAGTACACAGTAAGTCTTTCTAATATACTTGCTTCAGTGCATTTTCTTCACTATTCTTCAGATATTCTTCTAATGAGCTTATTTCTTCTTCAACCTTCTAATGTACTTGCAACATTCCATGCCTAGCTATTTTCTTTGGTAAGTAGAATCTGTCAACGTCACTCTGAAAATGAAGGGCATGATTCATTGTCATTATTTTTTAAGTCTTGCTATTCAGGGTTTTTGTTCTCCCTGAATTTAGCCCACTATTCCAGCTATGTATCTAATGATTGGAACTGCCCAGGAATTAATTACCTCAATAGTATTTCCTTTACTGGGTTTGAACGTTATGATCTTCACTCTCTTTATGTATTCACATCAAACCTTTTTGTTGATTTCATTGTGCTTGATGCTGTCAGCTTGAAGGATACCCTAGTATTTGTAGTAATCATCTTCATCCAGACTCTTAATGTTATTTCCATAAGGCATCTAGATTCTTTCAGTTTTCACTAGTTTTCCCCATTTGATGGTAAGCATGGCACATTTATCCAATCCCAACTCCATAGCAATATTTTGGCTGTGTTATGCAGCAATTCTATTTCAGATGTGTTTTTAAATACAATTTCAGATCATTCCATAGTTCGAAAGGATCTGGCAGATGTTATCTCAGAACCATTGCACCATATATTTCAAAACTCCTGGCGCACTGGGGAAGTACCTGAGGATTGGAAAAGGGCTAATGTGGTTCCTGTCTTCAAGAAAGGGAAAAAAACAGACCCAGGAAACTACAGATCAATCAGTCTAACATCAATACCTGGGAAGATCCTGGAACAGATATTCAAAAAACAGATCTGCGAACAATTGGAAGCAAAGTTATAACCAGTAGCCAGCACAGGTTTGTCAAAAACAGATCATGCCAAACCAATCTCATTTCATTCTTTGATAAAATGACTAAATTAGTAGAACTGCGAAACGCTGTGGACATTTTATACTTAGACTTCAGTAAGGCATTTGACAAAGTAAACCACCACCTGCTGCTTAGTAAACTAGAAAAAAATGGGATAGACAACAACATCAGATGGATCTGTAGCTGGCTGACAAACCATACTCAACAAGTAATCCTCAACGGCACTACATCCACATGGAGAGAAGTAAGCAGTGGGGTACCACAAGGCTGAGTCTTAGGCCCAGTACTCTTCAATATCTTCATTAATGACTTAGATGAGGAAAAAGAAGGGGAGCTCATCAAATTTGCAGATGACACTAAACTGGCAGGAATAGCCAACATCCCAGAAGACAGAATAGCCAACATCCCAGAAGACAAGCTCAGGATCCAAAAAGATTTGACAAACTTGAACAATGGGCCCTATTCAACAAAATGAATTTTAATGTGGAGAAAAGTAAAGTTTTACATTTAGGCAGGAAAAATCAAAGGTTTAAGTACAGATTAGGCAAGACCTGGCTCAAAAACAGCAACTGTGAGAAGGACCTTGGAGTCCTAGTGGATGATTACTTGACTATGAGCCAGCAATGTGCAGCAGCAACCAAAAAAGCTAATACAATCCTGGGTTGTATAAACAGGCATAGAATCAAGATCATGCAAAGTATTAGTACTGCTTTATAAAACCCTAGTAAGACCACAGCTGGAATACTGCAACCAATTTTGGTCACCATACTACAAAAAAGATGTTGAGGTCTTGGAAAAAGTTCAGAGAAGAGCAACTAAAATGATCAAAGACCTGGAGACTAAAATATGAAGATTGGCTGCAGGATTTGGGATTGGCTAGTCTAAAGAAAAGAAGAAAGTGGGGCGACATGATAGTAGTATTCCAGTATTTGAGGGGCTGCCACAAAGAAGAGGAGGTCAAACTATTCTCCAAAGCAGCAGAAGGCAGGACAAGAAACCATTGTTGGAAATTGATCAAGGAGAGAAGCAACCTGGAATTAAGGAGAAAGTTCCTAACAGGACAATTAACCAGTGGAACAGCTTGCCTTCTGAAATCATGGGCGCTCCATTACTGGAGGTTTTTAAGAAGAGAATGGACAGTCACTTGTCTGAAATGGTGTAGGTCCTCCTGCTTGAGCAGGGGGCTTAACTTGAAGACCTCCAAGGTCCCTTCCAGCTCTATTCTATTCTATTCATGTAAAGAAGGTGGATTAGTCTGGCAGATGTTTTCGATATTTGATAGCCATGATCTAGGTTATTCAGTATTGCTGACAGATGAATCAGTGCAGTGATAAACAGTGGTGATACTGAGTCTCTCTGCAAGATTCTTCTCTTGATATTAACCTTTCCCAATCTATCACTATTGACTTGCAGCCACATCTTCCATTGTGCCATCGATCTTTGCACAAAGCTTCTGATGTTTCTATTGACTAATTGATTATCCAATCATGTGGCAGGGAGTCAAATGTCTTCTAATTAATCCATACTACATTCCTTCCTTCTCTTGCAGTTTTCCAGAATCATCACTTAAGGGTTGATCACAGGTGGAAAGAACTTGTTTTCAACTAGATGCTGTTGGATTGCATCAATTACAACAGCAGTTACCAATATGAAAGTTGTTGGTAAGCACATAATTGGTCTGTAGTTGTCTGGCGCTGCCCCTTTTTATGGATCTTTCATATCAGCTTGGTTTTGCCAGGTGTTAGCCACTATTCAATTTCTCCTTGCAGTATGTTGTTGAACTTTTTGGGAACAAGTAAGTGCAAAAAAGTCAGGATATTTCAATCCAAATTTGTGCAATTCATTTCACCTAGTGCTGACCAATTCTTGATCTTCCTTGCCTTTTTCTTCACCTTTGCTCTTATTATGAGTTCTTTCAGCTTTTTTATTCTTATCCACCTCCTTAATCAAATTTGTTCTTGTTATATTTTGGGGGGTTTATCCCATATCTTCTCCCAAAACTGTGCTGTATCTTCCTTTTCAGACACTGAGTAATTCACTGCAGGCTCTCCCTTGATGGATTGGTAGAAATGTTTCTGATTAGATAGAAATTGGAGATTATCCCTATAATTTACAATTCAAGCTTTGTATCTTCCAATTTTCTTAGTTATAAATGTTGTTTGCTATTTTATTATTTCCAGTGTTTTGATTTTCCTTTTTCCAGGTGGTATTTCTTGATTAGGTTCTTTTTGGTCTTCTTGTTTTTCAATTAGTTTTCTTTCATTTGTTCTAACTTATACTTGCATCTAATCTCAGCCAATTTTATTTTTCTACCTGATATTCCATCATTATTATTACTATTATTATGGTTTGTCACACAATCAGTGAGATGTTCAGACTGACTTTGGCATTTTTGTCTACCTATTGAGTCCTTACCAAGGACCTGGGATAGGCAGATCTGGATTTTGAGATGGTGTTACAGATATTGTTGCAGGAGGGAAGCTATTGCCAGCATAGCCACCTTTTGCAATTGACTGATGGCAAATTTGTCAATGTTCAAGTGATGCTCCAGTTGTTTTGGGATTGCACCCCAGGCACATGTTACTATTGGTACTACTTTTGCTTTCTTTTGCCATAGTCGTTCTATTTCTATTTGTAGGTCTTTGTATTTCGTTATCTTCTCCAGTTCTTTCTCTTCTATTCTGCTGTCTCCAGGCACTGCCAATTCTTATCAACAATTGTTAAGTTTGGGATGTTGTGTGGCAAGTTCCTGTCTGTTTGAATTCTAAAGTCCCAGAGCAATTTAACTTCTTCATTTTCATGACTTTCTCTATATTCTGATCCTACCAGTTCTTGTTTGCGGGCAAATGATATTTCTTGCAGATTTTCCAATGCACCATTGTTGCTACTTTGTCATGCCGCTGATTGTAGTCAGTTTGGGCGATCATTTTGCAGCAGCTTACCAGGTGGTCCACTGTTTTTTCAGCTTCTTTAAATAGGCAGCACTTACTGTCTGTTCTCAATTTTGACTTTGTATGCCTTTGTCCTTAAGGCTTGGTCTTGTGCAGCCAGAATTAGTCCCTTGGTCTCTTTCTTCAACTTTTCTGCTCTTAGCCATTGCCAAATCTTGTTATTATCTGCTTTCCCAGTTATTTTTTTTAATGTAGTGGCCATGTAGTGCTTTGTCTTTCCATGACACCATTCTGTTCTTCATTTGGTCTTTCTTGTAGACCAGCTTGGTCTTCCAAGTAGTCAGTAAACTTTCCTGATATACTAACTTCAATGCATCTTCATCATTGTCTTTCAGATATTCTTCCAAAACCCCTTTTTCTTCTTCAACCATCTGATGTACTTACAACATTCCACATCCACCTATTTGCCTTGGTATTTAGAGTCTGTCAAAGTCACTGCATGGATGAAGGGCATGATTCATTGTCATTATTTTTCTGGTCTTCCTATCCATTGCTTTTTAGTTCTGCTTGAGTCCAGTCTACTATTCTAGCTATGTATCTAATGACTGGAATTGCCTGGGTGTTGATTGCCTTGATTGTATTTCCTCCATTAAGCTTGGACTTTAAGATTTTCTTCACTCTCTTGATGTATTCACCTCTAATCTTTTTTCTTAACTTCAGCATGCTTGATGTTGTCAACTTGAAGGATACTCAAGTATTTGTAGTAATCATCCTCATCCATACTCTTATGTTATTTTCATGGGCTTTCTTGATTCCATTTTTCACTATTTTTCCTTGTTAAATAGTGAGTGTGGCACATTTGTCCAATATCTTGGCTATATATACGGACATGTTAAGCACTGATTCTATTTCAGATGGTGTTTTTCCATACAGCTTCAGATTGTCCATGTAAAGAATGTGAGATAGTTTGGTAGATGTTTTTGAGGTTTAATAGCTATGCCCTGAGTTATTCAGTAATGTTGATAGAGGAAACAGTACAATAACAAATAGTAGTGGTGATAATGAATCTCCTTGAAATATTCCTCTCCTGATATTAACTTCTCCCAGTCTCTCACATTGAACTTGCAACTGTGCCTTCCATTGTGCCATTAATCTTTGCACAAAGTTTCTCATGTTTCTACTGACTCCTGTTATTTCTAGGAACTTGATTATCCAGTTATGTGGCAGAAAATTGAATGCCTTTTTATAGCCAATCCATGCTACATTTAGGTTGGTCTTCTCTTGCAGTTTTCCAAAATCATTTTGTTCCTCTGCTATTGGGGCGGTTTCCTTTCTGCTCACATGGAAAGAGATCATTTTCAACTAGATGCTATTGGACTGCAATTGCTAACACCAGTTAGCAGTTTGAAAGTTGTTGGTAAGCAAGTAATTGGCCTGTAGTTGCCTGTTGTTGCCCTCTTTCATTATGAGGTACTGTAGGTTTTGCCAAATGTTGGCCACTCTTCAATTTCACCTCCTTGTAGTATGTTGTTAAACTGCTTGCAACAAGTAGATATAGACCAGTTAGATGTTTCAACCAAAAATTATGCAGTTCATCTTCACCTAGTGCTGATCAATTCTTTTATCTTCCTTGCTATTTTCTCTACCATTTCTGCTGTTTTTACTAGTCCTTTCATTACAATTTCTTTTTTTAATTCTTATCCATCTCTTTTAACCAAGCTGCATCCTGTATTTCTTTAGGTTATCCCATATCTGCACCCAGAACTGTATTGTTTCTTCCTTGACAGGTGCTGATTGATTCACTGCAGTGTCTCCATTGATGGATTGGTAGAAACATTTCTGATTGGATTGATATGGAGGTTCTGCCTATAATTTGCAATTCAAGTTTCATATCTTCTGTTCTATCTGACTACTACTACTACTACTACTACTACTACTACTACTACTACTACTACTACTGTTATTGTCAGTTTTAGTAATACTCAAACATTCTAGCTTGATTACTTAAAGCATTTAAAAAAAATGGTTTCCCAATCCTGAAATTGCTGGTGCCACCTTGGTCCATCAGTTTGAGAATCCTTGAATTAAAATATGTCTCTGTCCATTGAAGTATTTCATTTGGCTGTGTGCTTTTATTCTTTTTTAATGCCTATGAAGAATTCTATTTTAATGCATGTTTGCATTCTTCATTTCAAAGTTAACTGACTCTTTTTAGTATAAATATATACAAAATAGTAAACATGCTTTGCTTTAAGGTCAGAGGAAAATGGCCACTGAAATATGTCATTGGAGCAATCTCTGCTGTATTAGTCTTTCTAAATCAGATTCGAAATTACTTTAATAAAACCAAACCCTCATAGGTTGAGACCACTCATAAACAAAGGGGTTTAGTTTAGAGAAACTTTGCTATTTGGGGGGTTCTGCTCAATTTCCTTCTCATATATTTTTATTAATTTTACGTTTCATTAACTGCCTAATATCAAATAACACCAATACCAAATAGCTGCCTGTCATATAGGATGCTTTATTGTTTATATATCTATATGATCTAAATTTAGATGCTGTAAAGAAAATCTAGAGTTCTGCAGTTTCTTAACTTCCTCTTATTATTCTTTCAATGATCTTCCCAAACCCAACTCTATCCAACAATTGTTTGCTGTCTCTCTTACTCTCTATAAAATATTTTGTTTCTGTAAGGTGAAGAAATGATGCCCTATGCCAGTGAAACAACCCATCTGGAAGATTCACTAGGTCAATTCTCTCAGAGTGAAATTCTCACCACACAGGTATGAGATTATATATTTTCAAACATAAATGCAATGACCTAATTTATGTGAATAGCAACATATACATGCTACTGTACATGGAAGAGCTTGCAATGAATTTGAGTTATTTGAGGAAGATTAGCTAAGATGATTGAAAATTTATTTGGGTGATAATACAAAGGGCTGGATATGTTTAGTCTGTTAAAAAGTTGATAAAAAGGGTGCATAACTGTGATACTCAGATATGGGGAAGATATGGAAAAAAAGATGCTTTCACTTCTGGTTCAGCTATTTTTTTTCCTTAACAATTCTTATTCTGATCTTTTTAAAAACACTCTTATTTATTCTTTTTTTTACCAATTTTATTTATAATACAATTAAAAAAAACATTGGATATAATGTGACATTCCAGTATATATATTCTTATCAAATTATTTCACAATGTACAATCGGTTCTTCATCTCTGAATATACATCTAAATTTTATGTACAATACTTAGTCTATTTCTCTATTTGCTTACCTAAAATTACATATATTTCTATCTTAACACTAGCCTATAATCCCAACAGTCCTCCTCGAATCCCTCCAGCAGTAAAATTTATCCCAGGTTTCGAAATAAACTGATCTACGTTTGTCTTTCAATACCTATAAGGACCCACCCCACTTTGCATCTTAAGAAGACAGAACTCTTGGAATATTTCTTCCAACAGGCACCCTTTATTAAGAGAAAATGGTTGCAGGTGTTCTAGACAGGACTTGGGCCCAAGCCCTATGGTTCAAGGTTTTAAGGGATACCCAGTAGCTCCACCCCACCCCACCATCTTTCCAGCGACAATCCCAGGCGTTACAATTCCACCCCTTTTTCCCTCACTGCCGGTGGAAGGGAGACTTCAGAGAGAAGTACATGAAAGCTAATGGCCCCATTGTTATGTTTATTCCTTTTCGTGGGATCCACATCCAGTCTCTTTGAAGTGTACTGAAGGAAGTGAGGGCCATAAAGCCCCTTTGTTCACCCCCCCCCTCCCCTCATCATATGACAGAATCCAGAGAGGGCAGAAATGGGGTTTTCCATAGTCGATAACTAGAGATGAAATATAATTGGATTCTGACAATACCATTGTGAGCCTGTCCATTTCTGCACATGATAATATTTTATATAGTGTCTCTTCCTCTTATTATTTCTTGTTGGTGATTTTGATAAAAATGTCCTGTTCTCACAATTAAATTAGAAGTAAGTGAGGGGAGTGATATCATCTCACCAGAGGTCTGTAGAAATCTCGTTGCCTTGGGAAGTTGTTTCACTCCTATTCCATCTATATCTTAAGACACATCTTGTATTGTTATTTCCTTTGTTGCTGTAAAGTGAATTTAAGACCCATTGAGGGAAATCATTTGTGGCAAGCAGTGATTGTTCCAGTTTTCTCATCAGATAACTAGTGATGTTCAGCCATTGACACAGCTTCATAGCAGTGGAGCAGTATTTCATCTCTTTATACTAATTTCCTCATTCCCTGTTAATGACAGTGAGAGCTAGGAGTCAAGCCCAAAATGTGAATGAATTTTAAAATACAGCAGAAAGATTGTGACTTAATTCAAATTGTTCCTGTTATAGAGGAGCCCATCATTTTCCCCAGTCATAATTAAAGTGCTTAAATCACCTATGATAAGAGACACCATTATCTCCCATCATTCCTCTTCTATCAGTCACAGTGATACCCAACACTGGCCATAGAAAATCATGTTGCAGCTTGAATTTTGGAGTGACAAGGGGTTTACTACACAGTTTAATCTTTAGCAGAAGGAAGAAATAAAATGCTAGTAAAATATTATTTTTCATTGTCATCTTTAATATTTTTCTTAATGCTAAATAACAGATGAAATACAGATAGTCTTCGACTTATGAATGAGCCTGTCCATTCCATTCGTAACTCGAGGATTCATAGGAGTGAATCTCGTACCTTGAAAGTAATCACTCCCTGCTTTCGCCCACACATTCGTTAATTGAACGCGCGATTCATTAAGTGCACATGAGATATCTCAGGTGGGCAAGACCATGGGGGGCCTAGGCCTCCCTGACTAAGATACCTCGTGCTTTTCCCTCCCTTCCACGCAGGACTCGCCTACTTTGCAAATATCTGCCTCCTCTCTGCCGCTGTTTCTTTGAGGAAGAGGAGAGTCTATGAAAGCTCCTGGGTGCATAATATCGCGCAAGTTTAGGCACCCATTCTCTTTTGCAGATGAAGTTTCCAGGCTCCATCAGGTCTCCATCCGGGTGAAAAGTGTTTGAGCACCTATTGGATGCTTGGAAGGGAGTGAGTCACTCTATTTCCAAGTGCCCCATAGGTGCTCAAACACTTTTTGTCCAGATGGAGACTGGGAGCTTTGTCTCCATGCAAATGTGGCACTTGGAAACAGAGCGATTTGTTTCCTTTCAAGCTTCCCATAGGCGCTCAAACACTTTGCAATTCACTCCGCTTGCAAGCATCCCATTTGCAAATCTGTTTCCAAGTGCCCCATTTGCACGCAGATAAAGCTTCCAGTTTCCATCAGGTTTCCATCAGAGTGAAAGTGTTTGAGCACCTATGGGATACTTGGAAGAGAGTGAATCACTCCATTTCCAAGTGCCCCATAGGTGCTCAAAACACTTTTCACCCGGATTGAGATTGGGAGTTTTGTCTGTGTTCAAATGGGACACTTGAAAACGGAGCAATTCACTCCCTTCCAAGCTTCCCATAGGCGCTCAAACATTTTGCAATTCACTCCGTTTGCAAGCATCCCATTTGCATGCAGACGAAGCTCCCAGTCTGTTGTGATTCTTTGCCAGCCAGTGAATCTGGCAGCTGAGTCTGAGGAATCAGATGAGGAGCAGGGGCCTGGAGTGACATTAGAGTCAGAGGAAGGCTCTGAGGAGCTCCAAGACTTACAGTCAGATGAGGAGCCTGGCCCCTTTACTCGCACTCAGGCTGAGACACAGCTGTGCTGGGAGCCTGAGTTGGACAGTGATGAAGAACAGTTGGGACAAATTCAGGATACACAAAAGTGCAGGCAAGAGAAACAAGTAGGACAGAGGAATGCAATGGGGCGGCTCCAAAGGCAAAGGAGAAAGCATTAGGAAGCCACACCTTGGCTGAATTATAAAAGGGAAGGTGTGGGAGATGCTGGTTGCCAAAGGCAACCGTTCGTGTTGAGAATCGAGTTTCTGTAGACTGTGTTTGTTTGCCTTGGACATTGACTCAAGTCTGTGAGAATAAAAGAGGTTGTTTTTTTCTTATGGTTCCTGCCTGTTTTTTGGAAGAGGGATTTCTCCTTGTGAGCATAACAAGAATTCACGTAGGCTGGGACAAAACAGTTTGCCTTCAGCCTTCTACCCTCTATTACCATGGAGCTGTTACGTATTGAGAATGCCCAGCTCTCCCAGCAGCTGGCTTTGCTGGCAGCTCAAGTTGCTCAGCTTCCACTCCTGCTGCTCCATAGCCCTGAAGGAAGTGTCCAGTCGCAGCGTCTGACAAATTTGATGGCACTTCGGAGATGTTTCCAGTTTTTTGGGGCCAATGCCAGCTCTTTATTAGCCTGAGAGCAGCTGACTTCCCCACTGACCGTGATAAAGTGGGGTTTATGATCAGCCTCCTCTTTGGTGCTGCAGCTCGTTGGGGCATACCTCTGCTAGCCCAGCCTAATCTGTTGTTGGATAATTTTGGGGTTTTTTGTGACTATATGCATCTTATGTATGAGGACCCCATTAAGACACAGACCACTACCCAAGGCCTGAAAGCTCTGAGGCAGGGCCGGTGCCCTTTACAGGGATATATCAGTGAGTTTCAACTGCTTAGCCAGGATTCAGCCTTGAGCGAAGCTGTACTCATGGACGCTTTCCAGGATGGCTTGTCGGAGGAGCTGGCCCGAGTCGATGTTCACCCAGACCTCAATGGGTTGATCCATCTCTGTTTGCGGATTGATGCTCAGCTGCAGCAGCATAGGAGCCATCATGTCACCCTAGAGACCCAGTTGTGCATGAGACTCTGGTTCTGCAGGAGGAGCCTATGGAGTTAGGTGCTTCCTGACCTTGCCTATCAGTGGCAGAAATGAATAGACGACGTTCGGGGGGGGGGTTGTGTTTCTGTGGGGACCCTGGGCATTTGGCTGCCTTCTGTCCCAAGAAGCGACGAGGGTTGTCAGCTACCAAGCCTGCCCTGCAAAAGCAAGCTCATCTGTCAAGAAATGCCCTGAACCCAACCTAAAAGACATTTTGGGTCAGGCTTCCCCCAACATCGAGCAACGTCCTTTGGATGCTGCACTCGGATTTCCATGGCATTTGATACTGGTGGCATGCTTGATCCTTCCTGGGAAGCCACAAGGGATTCCAGTACATGCTTTGGTCGACTCTGGGGCCACCGCAAACTTTATGGACGCAGCATTTGTGGCCAAATGGGCTGTTCCCCAGTGCCTGGTGGAACTGCCTCTGTTAGTTGAGACTATTGATGGCCGAGTGCTCCTGTCTGGGCCAATTAAGGCCGCCATGCAACCGTTGGGTATGGCCATCAGCCCGCATGAGGAAGCTATTCAGTTTTACATAATCTCCAACCTTCATTTCCCCATGATCTTGGGATTGGCGTGGCTCAAGACACATGACCCGCAGATTTATTGGTCCCAGAACTTGGTTACCTTTCCAAGTTTACAGTGTGTGGACCACACCTGCCAAGTCTGTGCCAGCCAGGTGGTGAGTCCCCCAGGGATCTCCCTGCCCTCCGAACTGGTGACTTGCGCTCGTGTGTTTAGCGAGATTGAGGCGGATCAGTTGCCCCCGCATAGGCCATATGACTACCCCATCGACTTAGTTCCTGACATGCCTCTCCCAGTGAGGCATTTGTTTTCCAGGTTGGACCCCGAGTTGGGACTTTGCGAGACTTTCTAGACAAAAATTTGGCTCAGGGTTTTATTCGGCCTTCGTCTTCACCAGTGTCTGCACCAGTGCTCTTTGTAAAAAAGAAGTCCGGAGAATTGAGGCTTTGCTGTGACTATCG